TGTTTTATCAGTCAACGAATTTAAAAATTTTTGTTTTATCTTCCGCGTTTTCCCTTTTTTTTGCCATCAGTAGTGGATCACTTTTCAAGACCACTGGCGGATCCAGGGGAAGAGTGGGGAAGGGGGCGAGGGGCTTTCCCCCTACCTCACTTTGGTGTCCATTAGTGAAAGTGGGGGAGGTAACGGATCATCGAGGATAGTAACGAGCGAGGGGTAGGGGTAGTGCGACGATTGAAGAATGGGCTGGGAGCTGGCTGAGGAGGAAGGGCTGGGCGTAGGGACGAAGGGAGAAGAGAAGGTGGAAAACTGCCCTCCCCTTCCCTCTTTTCCCCGATAGACGCCCTGGATCCGCATATAAGTAAGACGTCGGAACGGTAAGTTTGGGGGTCTAATGTTGATGATTTGATTTGGGTGATCCGTACAGATATGCATCCAAACTTTCAAATTAATTTTCGAGTTTTTCTTCAGGATTGGGTGGAACTGTGGCGGACTGAAAGTATCACGTTGCTGTTCGAGTACACCTACTATCCGTTGTACCGCGATCCGTTATCAGATCTTCCATCAAACGTAATCAGGCCTTCAGCAAATAAGCAAACAACGCCAATGGCGTTACCTCCGGATCAGCTACTGCTTGAGGTTTCCGTCTTCCGCTGAATTTTACCCTTTATTTTTGCATTGTTCGCTGTAATTGATATATTATGGGCTGGATTTTGTATTATCGGGGGATTGTGATATTTCTTGCCTCCATTTTGTACTGTTAATGAATGTGAGCAATTTCAGGTGACGATCGATGATTCGGAAGTGGTGCTAGTGGGGCTGATCATACGGTTGATTATTGACTTGAAGAACAATTATTTTGGCTTATACGATCAGGTAAACGAAGGTCCATCCTCTAAAATTCTAAAATAACTATTTCCTTTTTGAATGAAGAGGAATACCTAGATTGCTTGATGAAATGCTCACACATGGTAGGCATAGCTATCCAAGTAGAAGAATAACTGAAAAAAAAAATTCAATTTATCAAGAACCTTCAGCTTTATGAAAACTTGATAGATAGTTGAATTTTTGCTGCGGAATTGCCTGTTTTTATGCCCTTGTAACGCAACAGTTGCACCTAATGCATGCTTGTGTGCCTTCCGGTGCACCTTATCC